AGACCTGGGGGACAACGGGCACCTGAAGCCTGAGCAGAAAACCCTCCAACCATTGCTCCCTCCTGCAGTCCCCATCCCACCCCCAGCCCCAGAGGCAATACCTTCCTCTTGATGAAGGTGGCCAGGGGGCCCTTGCCCAGCTCCGAGCTGGTCTTCTCTGTCATGCTGAGCGATGGTGCCATCATCTGCCCAGCCGTGCGGTCCACGTAGATGAAGTGCACCAGGCCAGGAAAGTCCTCCAGATATGTGGGGTGGGTTAAGGGTGTCCAACAACTTTGGTGCCCTTCCAGGACAGACCCTGAGCCTTGGGGAAGCCACCTTCACCCACCACACTCCTCCCCTTGAGCCTGCTGCTGGGGGGACAGGGTCCCGCTCCCACCCCTGCAACCCCCCTGGGGACCCTTCCTTGCCAGGCTGGGCTCCCAGCCGCAGGGATGGGTATGACACCATAGTGATATTGCGCCTGCTCTTCACCAGCAGAAAGTCCCGCCAGTCCAGCAGCTTCTCCCTGCCAAGAAGAGGCATGGTGAGAGGCCGGGACCCCCAAAGCAGACGGGTGTGGGGCAATCCCCCAGCTCCCCCAGGGATGCCGGCCGCCCTCACGGACTCACCTCATCAGCCTCTGGGCACGGTCCCGCAGCCCCTGGGACAGGCTGTGGCTGGCGGATGCCAGGAAGAGCTGGCGATACACGGAGCAGAGCTGCCGCTTCACGTTGGCCACTGCCTGCAGCAGCCTGAGCCAGGAAGACACGGATGGCACAGAATTTGGCCCCTGGGCCCCCAGCACTGCAGGGACAGCCATGCCGCCCCTCAGGCTGGGAAAAGTCCCTGCCTGCCCCAGAGACTCCCCCTGGCCACCCCGTACTCACTCCAGGGAGCTCCCAGGCTCGCTCCGGGAAAATATCTTGTTCTTGAAGTCCACCCAGGTGTTCTGCAACTAGAGAGAGACAGGGCTCAAGGTCAGGCTGCAGGGACAGCAGGACAGGGTCCTTGTGTCCCCACTCCCACCTGGATGTCCTGCCCCCTCTGCTTCTTCACAAACTTGTCCATGCGCTGCCGCAGCTCAGCCAGGAATGGAAAGGAGCGTGGGGCTCCCGCCTCTGGCCCCTCTTCCAGCTTCCTCTCCAGTACCAGGAAACCATCCAGCAGCTGGTACAAGGTGACAGCCACCTGAGTCATGGGGCCCTGCCAGGGAAGGAGGAGGTGGGTCAGCCAGGACTCAGCCCACTGTTGCTTCCCTCAGCTTCGGGGCAGCTCACCTTGGTCAGGAGGACGAGGGATATGCCCGGCCAGAGTGGGAGGCAGTGCATGGTGTGGGGCAGCAAGGGGCAGTAACCTTCCCGCAGGTTGGCGTCCAGGAAGATCCTTCTGGGGTTTGAAGCTTCAGGCACCAGAGGCCCCAAGGTCTGGAGCAAGTCCTCTGCCATCTGGGGAGACAGGGGAAATGCTCAGCACCCCGCAGGGACTAGAGAGCCCACAGTGACCCAGGACGCTCTGGAGGGACACAGCAATGCCCTGAAAACTGCAACTGGGCACAACTGAACCGAGAGAGCTGGAGGGGCTGTGCAGCAACAGATCAGCAGCGAGGAAAAGTGTCCAGGGACCCCAAAAGAGCAGCAGCTAAAGGGGAAGCCACTTGCAAAGGCACAGGTTACAAACACCTTGCACCAAGGCCAGCACTTGCTTGCAGAGCATGTGTGAGGCTCTGTGGCATCTGGCAGGGAAGCAGCCCAGAAAGCCCAGAGGCAGCAGAGGGAGACACCAGACTGCTCTGAGGCAGCCCTGCTCCCTCCGTGCTGACAGCTCTGGACAGGGAGACCATAAGCAATGCCCCAGGGAGGGTGGTCAGAGCCCTCACGGGGTTATGCACAACACAGGGGATGTGGGGTGCATCCCCAGCCCTGGAGGCTGGGGCACCCACAGCCTCCGCACAGCAGGGGACGAGTGATGGGGACCAGAGACCACAAAGAGCACCAGGACAGGCTGGGGAGGCGCAGAGCTGGGAGGGACCGCAGGACCCCTTGCTCACCTGGACATCTGCAGCGTCTGCCTCCCCGGTGCCCAGCATCTCAGTGCCCTCCGACCAGCTCTCGCTGCCTGCAGGGAGCACGGCAGGTTGCCCTCCCCGCCAGCCCCCTGCACAGCCCCAGAGCTTCCGTGGGGCTGGGGGGCACGGGGCAGCGCTGCTGCCCAGCTGGGCACTCACTCGTGCTGTGCCTGCCTGGTGAGGGCTCTGGTGTGTAGAAGATCTCAGGCACGGAGAGATCGTCTGTGTCCTGCCAGTAAGAACAGCGGGGTCAGAGACGAGAGTGATGCAGGCAGCCCAGCCAGCGTCCGGCCTGCAGCTCCCGATGCCAGGGACTCACCTGGTCATCTGAGTCCTTCTCTGCAGCATTGTGGGAGCCAGGGCCGCTCATGGGAATGCTCTCGCTTCTCTTGGGTCCCTGGGGGAGCACCTTCCCTGCTGCAGGCTTCTGAAAAAAGAGGAAAAAAATTAAGCCCTGACTGCCAAGGCAGGGGCACCCTGACCCACTGCCCCCCGCACCCTGCTCTGGAGCACCTGGGGGCCGAGCTCCTCCTCGGCACTCTGGCTGGGGTACAGGTCCTGCACCAGGAGGATGAGGGTGAGCAGGTCGGCAGGGCGGATGGAGCTGGCGTTGCGGCTACGGGCCAGAGAAGGGAAGGGTCAGCTAGGAGGGCGAGTGGCTGCCCCAGGGAGGGTGGTGGGGCTGGACGCACCTGGAGTAGAAGGCCAGCAGCTTGGTGTGCACCAGGAGGAATGCATGGCCCACCTCATCCCCGCCGCGCTCCGGGCTGGCGTTGATGTACTGCACCACCTCCCGCTCCAGGAACTCGATGGACTGCTCGCAGAGCTGAGGGTGGATCAGTCGCTCCACAGCCTGGGGGACGGGCGGGGGCGAAGGCTGCTGAGCACCGCCAGACCCAGCCACG